AGAAAACCTGGACCTTGTACTCAGTACTGCTTCTCTTTAGTAGATGATTACATATTTACTTCCTAGCTTTCCATTCTTTGTTGTCTCTGTATTTGTCTAGAGTTACCAAGAATATCTATGGCTACACCCAAGCAAACTCCAGGCCTAAGTGTAGCTGGGACTTCGAATTCTCCTTTTCCTCTTAGTGATTCAAAGCAAGCTCATCACCAGATGATAAAACTAAATAAAGGTTTGCTTCACTGTTAGGGGAAGGAGAAGTTCATGAGGCCAAGCAATCCCAGGCACTTCAGGAAGCACCTGAGCTGTGAGGACACGTGCATCAAGCTGTCAGTGTGAACACTGTGGTAGCAGTGAGCCATCCCAAGATGTGTGTGTGTGTATGTGTGTGTGTTGTTGTTTCTGTGTGTTGAGTCAGAGATGCGTTCTGGTAGAAGTCAATTGTCAACAACAAAGAGCTATGTTCAAGAGAAGTGCTAGAGGGGCTGGAGAGATGGCTCAGAGGTTGAGAGTGTTGCCTGCTCTTCCGAAGGTCCTGAGTTCGAGTCCCAGCAACCATGTGGTGGTTCATGACCATCTGTGGTGAGGTCTGATGCTCTCTTCTGGCCTTCAGGTATAACGCAGAAAGGATATTGTATACATAATAAATAAATAAATAAATATTTTTAAGAATAAAAAAAGAGAGAAGTATTAGAGGAACCCAGGAAGAGGGGCCAGCTAAGACTACGTGAACCACCTTAGGGAATGAAACACACCCAAGGAGATCATTATGTAGACTACCTACTACCTACTTGGTCTTTGTTTTTCTGTAACTGTTGAATGTGGTCATGGAGCTCTTGTGTATCAAAGTATCAAAGACTACTTGTCTATGCATCCTGTTATTTTAAGTATCTTAATATATACTATTTGTCATCTTTAGCTTATATTTATTATTCATTCAACAAACATTCAGTGGCTCACTTACTATATGATTCATTTCCAGCACTAGGAATATGAAGATACGGCATACAATCTCTGCACTTAAGTTCCTTAATTCCTTAGTGCAGCAGTATGGAAGTTGGGGCCCAAAGAGATTTTTGATTCATAGAGACACAGCCTCCGCACAGACTAATACATTTAAAGCTTGTCACAAAGGCTGTAAATTCTATTCTCCCTCTTCTCTAGGCACCTGAGTTTGGATCCCTTTCCATGCATGTGAGCACCATGAGGCCCTTTGTTGGTGCTGGCACTTGGAGGTGCCTCCAGGTTTGGAAACCAAATTAAAATCTCTTCCTTTACAAATAATTCATCAGTAGGAAACAGACCAAGATGTACATATGTACATCTCTCACAGGACGCATTTCAAGAAACACAAGCCTCCACAGACTAGAAGAGCATGGGCATTAATGTATTTACCATCCTTGTTCTATCACAGGAAGACACTATCAACTGAAGCACAGCCAGCAAAGTCACTCAGAGGTCAAGAGCTCTATACCTCCTCTAAATTCTCATGGTGCTCTGCACACACCTCTGCCACAAAAATACACTGTATCTGCGGGGGACGTGGGAATGGGTTCCAGGATCACTCGTGGAAAACCAACATCTGCAGATGCCCAAAAATTTTATATAAAACAGTGTTGCTTTTGAAAGAAGTCTATGCATACCCCTTGAAACACTTGAAACCATCTCTAAATCACCTCTACTACCAAGCATTGTGTAAGCATTAAACACAGCTATCGCATTGCATTGTTTAGGTAATATTGATGAGAAAAAAAATCTGGATATGTTCAGTATAAGCGCAGAGTTTTTCCAAATATTTCTCCCTTGGTTAGTTGACTCCCCCAGTATGGAATCCACATGCATACACTGCACCGTTGTTCACCTGTTTCTTCTATTAGACCTCAGGAGCAGTGGTCTGGTTATCCCCCAGAGCCAGTAAAGGTAGTAAAACTTTGCTTATTGTTAAGGTAAAATAACCTGTTTCTTTCTCCCTTCTGTCTATCCCAGCAACACATCCTATTGATGCCTACAATGAAAAAAAAAATCAATTGCTTTAATTTTTCCTAAATTGTTTCTTTAAACTGAGAGGTCAACTAAGAATCTGAAAAAAAATACCTGTTCTGAATAAAATACCATGTCAGACTTTTCAATCGCTCCAAAAAGCATCAAACTACCAGAAAGTGCAAGTTAAAACTATCTTTCTTAGCTGGGCAATGGTGATGCACACCTTTAATCCCAGCAGAGGCAGAGGAGGATCTCTGAGTTTAAGGCCAACCTGGTCTACAAAGCGAGTTCCAGAAAACAGCCAGGGCTATACAGAGAAACCTTTTCTCGAAAAACAAAACAAAACAAACAAAAAACTCAACCAAACAAACAAACAACTCTTTCTTAAAGATTCCAGATGCCCTGTGTCTTTTATTCTAGCTCTGAAGGGTGTGAAGAGATGCCAGCCTGGGACATAGCTCCATGCAATTGAATTCTTGGTACTAGGCTGTAGGGTACATGGGCAGCTAAGATGGCGTCGAACGAAAGTCAGACTGATGGACCCTGAGTTGTTTACACCAAGACCCGAATGGACACCAGAACCAGGCAAGATGATATCAGCGCGTGAACAGCTTGTGGACAAAAGAGTAAATATAGGGTTCCTGAGTGTGTGTTAGGGCGACTTTTAAAATGATTGGCTGGCTCCTTTTCCACTCCCCATGGCCCCGTGTTGTTTTTTGTTTATTGTTTTTGGGTTTTTTTTTTNTTTTGCTTTAAAAGATGTTTACTGCACAAAAATAAACGAGTTCAGGCTGGAGAGATGGCTCAGAGGTTAAGAGCATTGCCTCCTCTTCCAAAGGTCCTGAGTTCAATTCCCAGCAACCACATGGTGGCTCACAACCATCTGTAGAGGGCTCTGGTGCCCTCTTCTGGCCTGCAGGCATACACACAGACAGAATATTGTATAATAAATAAATAAATATTTAAAAAAAAATAAATGAGTTCCTGCTTGACTAGACTCTCTGTTGTGTCTGACTGTGGTGGGATTGAGGGAGGCTGGGGAACAAGCAAGTGGCATACTTACCTTTCCTTGGACCCAGCTCATCCTCATCCAGGTGAGCTAAGACCCAGCACTAGGCCTATCACCTAATGCCACAGCATCCCAGGGAAAGCCCTAAACAGAAGATCTCGTACGGCCTCATAACCTCAAAACTCATTTCACAAATGCAATCAGTAGTGCATGCCAGTAAGTGATGACACTTATCATCAAACTTTTGAGAGATGGCTTTGTGTCCCCGTGTTGTCGTCATTGTTCCCACCCCCACGTCCTCCACAGGAACACACACACACACTGTTAGTCTGATATTTGATATCATTCAAACGTCACACTTAGTGGCTCTGAATAAGAAAGTCTGTCTTAAGCCCGGTGGTGATGATGCACACCTTTAACTGCACCACTTGGGAGGCAGAGACAGGTAGATCTCTGTAAGTTCAAGGCCAGCCTGGTCTACAAGAGCTAGTTCCAGGCTAGGCTCCAAAGCTACAGCAAAACCTTGTCTTGAAAAACCAAAAAAGGGAGAGAGGGAGAGGGGTAAGGGGAGAGGGACAGGGAGGTCTCTCTTAGCCTGGAGAGATATCTCAGTCTCAGTGTTTAAGAGTGCTTGGTTTAGTTTTCAGTACACACATCACACAGCTCACAACCACATGTAACTCCAGCCCCAGGGAATCCTATGCCCTCTGCTGGCCTCCACAGTTATCTGCATGCAAGTGCTGCACATACACTCATGTAGGCATACACACATATACACAATTGAAAAAATAAACCTGTTTGAAAGTCTCTTTGCTGATTCTCCTAATATTCTTAAAACAGAAGATGCAGTCCACCGTATTTTTTTTTATCTTCTTCTCTGTGTGTTTGAACTCCATGAATTCCGAGCTTTAAAAACAACCCACAAACCCCATTAAAGGGACTTGGGTACAGGCATCTTGCAAACTATAATTTGATGCACTCTGCACACCTAGTTGCTGTGGACATTATTAATAACTCACAAATTAACACAGTTCCAGTGTGTGCGTAAACTTGTGGTGGTCTATTTTAGCCTTTTTAATATATAAAATAACTGACTTCTACCTACACAGCTAACTTGGAATCCCTGAGAATGCCTGAATGGTAAAAGATTTGAGCTAGTATATACATGCCTTTTACAGAGAACACACTATTTTCTTCAATAACTTACCACAGTACTACCCATTTTACCAACAGCAAATAAAATAGCAGACAGTGTCAACACACACCAGGCAAACTGAAGCTCTGGCTCTGGGGCACGAATGGTAAGTGCAGCTGTGCTCCAGGGAAGACTTGTTAGTCTATCATTGTGGTCAGCGGCTTTTAAATCCTAACTCAAAGTATCCACATGGAGAAAAAAAACAGCCCATGTAATGAAAATCCAAAGTAATCAGCAGACAGGGTCATCTTCGTGTAAGCAGAATGTAGTTATGAAGATAGACACTGCAAAGGCACGACTCCAGCATTCTGGCCGTGTCTGTGGAGCATCAGGTAGATGTCATTGCCCACAGGCAGAGCTAATACTCAGAGACAATTTTTTTTTTAAGCAAACTTCCAATGTGCTATTTTCATACCTATATGCCATTATGCTTTGTTCTTTTTCTGTCCTCCCTAATTCCTACACTTTCTGGCTGATTCCTTCTCCACTAACACTGCCCTCTCTTCTTCTTTCATGCCACATGTATTCCATTGCCTTCTTTTACCCCTCCCTTCCTCCCTTCCTCCCTCCTTTCCTTCCATCCTTCCTTCAGATCTCTTCCTCTCCAGGACTGGAGAGATGGCTCAGCAGTTAAGAGCACTGGCTGCTCTATCAGAGGACCCAGGTCAATACTCAGCACCCACATGGCATCTAACAACTGTCTGTAACTCTAAGATTCGACACTCACACAAACTTGCATGCAGGTAAAACACCAACACACATAAAATAAAGACAAATAAATTATTTTTTTATACTCTTTCTGAAACTCTTTCTCTCCTGCCATGGTTCCCCCACCACACACAAATTGAAATCTGGATGCTGCATAGGAGAGAGAACATGCAGTAGTATTTGTCTTTCTGAGTCTGACTTATCCTGTTTAACACAAGCTCCGGTTCCATTCATTTTACTTAAAATGACATAATTTCATTTTCTTTATAATTGAATACAATTCTAGTATATATATACATATACATATATATTCTATATTCATTTAAAAAATACATGTATGTCTAAGGAACACATGCAAGCTTGGGGCATTTGGAGGCCAAAAGATACTGAATCCCCTGGCACTAGAGTTCCAGAATTGTACCCAAGCCCTCTGGAAGAGCATCCAGGGTTCTGAAAGACTGAGTCATCTCTCCAGCCTCATCCATGGACTTCTGGATGGACATCTAGGCTAGCTCTATTTTTTTAAGCTACTGTGATGGATGTAGCAGAAAACACAGGTCTGTAAACACCTCTGTGGCATATTATCTGTCAGACCTGCCGTTGTATGTCCGGAAGCCCTACTGGGTCACATGATAGCCATTTTTAGTTTTATAAGAAGCCTCCATACTGATATTTGTAGCAGTTTTACCAACAATATATGAGATTTCTACTTTTCCCACATTCGTGCCCAGCACTGTTGCTGTCTCTTCTTGATGACAGCCATTCTGCAGTCACATGGCATCTCAAAGGAGTTTTAACCAGCATTTCCCTGAGGGTGAAGGATGTCCAACACTTTTTAAAATATTTACCAGCTATTTGTAATCCTTCTTTTGAGACTGTCCTATTCAGCTAACTGAATGATTTGGTATTGGGGGTTTAATCTTCACAGTATTCCTTGTATGACATACAATTGGCCAATTGTATGTATCTTTCCAATCCTATAGTTCTCTTTCGATTTGGTGGTTGTTTCCTTTGTAGAAGAAACACTCTTTTTTTGTAATCTCATTTGTAAATTCTCGGAATGATTTCCCATGCTACCGGAATCATTTGCTGGAGTCCACTGACTGTACCTCCACTTGCTTCACCCTTATTTTCTTCTAGAAGATTCAGTTTCAGCCTTACATTAAGGTCTTTAATCCAGTGTTCAATTAACTTTTGTACAGGGTGAAAGAATGAGACCGACTTTCATTCTTCTACATGTGGATATTCACTTGGCTCAGCATAGTGCGCTGAAGAGGCTCTTTTTTCCCAACCAATTTCTGACAACTTTTATAAAACAATATCTGGCTGAAAGTGTGTGGCTGTACTTGGGTTCTGCCATTCTACCGCATTCATTTACATGTGAGCAAGCTATCTTATTTTTTCCAGAGTCAACTTTTCAGTTCTGAATTTATTATTTACCTTCAAGAAGCAGTCATCCTGACCCTTAATTCCATTTCCTCTCTTGCTTGCCCTTCCTCCAGCATTGTCTCAGGGTGTCATCTGCTTCACCTACAGACTGTAATGCACAGCAAATGGTCCACCACACCCATTAAATGGGCTTCTCTGTATCTCCATTTCAGAACCTACTCCAATCTATTCTCCACATTCCAACAAGAGTGGATTTTTCTTGACTTCTAATCTGATCATCTCGTGACCTTGCTCACAGTCCTTTGGAGGCCCATCTCCAGAGAACAGCATCTAAATTCAGTAGAATGCATGGCCACAGGCCTTCCTTGATGGGGTTGCCTGACAACCATTCCCAAACATTCTCCGTTATGTCACCATTCCTCTAGCTAAATCTGTACTACATGCACTTCCCTGATGAGAAGATACTCAGGCTTCTCCAGTAGTATGTCTGTTCCCCATGTTCATCTGCCTTTGCTGTATCTTCCTTTAAAAGAATCGCTTTCTATAACACCTCTAGTGAAACACTGTCACCTGCTAGGTCACCTCTGCTCCCCCCAGCAGTGGAGTTTGCTCTCCTTTATGCACCCATTGTGATGCTCGAAGCACAATACCTGCCACAGTTGGCTCTCATCATCTGTTGTCTTTTACTTTGATGTGCCAAGGAGCACAGAAGCCTGGCCTTTGTATACCTGGTGTCTGCGAATACATACAGAGCAAATGATGATGGGGAAAATGAAGGTGTTAATTAGTACATATACCTTGGCTAGCACTAAGTTGAGTACATGCCAGTGTGGGAAGGTTGAGAAAACAAAAGCAGAAACCAAAATGCAGAAAAGAAAATATACGTTCATCAAACTATTAACAAATAGCTAAGAGCCATAGTGGTCAAGTCAGGGTGGGCAGAGATGAAGGGATCACATGTCACCCATGTTAATAAGTGTTCTATTAAGTTCTCTCAAATTAAGTCCGAAGTATTTAAAGGTGGGCTACATGAACAGGCCAAAAGCAGTGGCAGGAGTGAAGGAGCAGCATTCAAAGAGCTGGCACAGGGTGGGCAGGGGACAGAGCCGCCCTCCTGAGAGCAGGGAAAACCAGGTGAATGTCTTCAAAATGATGGCAGCTGCAGAGTTAAGGCTAGTGCATTCCTACTGCAAAACAATTTAGCCTTCCTATCTAGAACTACGTAAGGAAGTTCCTTGTTCCTAGCCTCACTCCTAGCTGGATCTCAGAGCACTTTCTCTGACTGCACTGACCTCCAACTCCAGAGCCTGTGTTTATTCTTCTGTACCAAATACAGCTCTCATCTAAAAATAACTTTATTCTGAACCCATTTTCCTCTCATCTTGTTATTATAAATTCATTTCATATGCATAACTGTCAGGGCCCCTTAGAAATTAGAGAAGGAAAATAACCCATATCCAGCACCTTCCCATACAGCGTGCTTGTAAAAGTGATTTCTCTTTATCCCTTCTTGAATTGGCACAGCAACCCAGTGAGGTGCTGTTGTTAATGACAGCAAGAAACAATGCATAGAAACATTGAAGTGAGTACCAGAAAGTTAACATCCCCACATGTTCTTGTTAAATAAGTGGCAGAGGAAAAATTCAAGTGTACAGGTCTGCATCTGTCTGAACCTATATACCTCACCCTCTTGCCACTGATCATTCTCTCTCTAATCTAAGAATTTTAGAGGCAATATGAGCCCCCCAAAGCATCTCTTTTCTCAGGACAGAATGACAACCCTCACTCCAAATTCTTGGCACCAAGAAAGGTAAAAGAAAAACATAAATTATGAAACTCAGTCTACACGGTGAGGAGGGCTAAACTGGTCTTGTAATCAGGGTACCCTGAAGATAGGGGCTGGCTCAGGAAGAGAAGAAAAGTTCCTAAAAGGCCGGTTCAACTTTTCTACACCGTACTACCAGAGGGAAAGCCAGGTCGGCATTCATTCTCCGGTTTAACTTGGTAAAGGAGTTGCAAAGCAGAGAAACATGGGTAGACATTTACAGAACAAAAATACTGCCAGCTCAGAATCAGCAAACAGGAGGAGGTTCCTGTGTGAGACCCAGAGGGAGAGAAAACAGGGAACACGAGCCAAGGGCAACAAAATGCATGCCATCCCCCTCCCTATCCACAGTGGCTGATCCTAAACTGCATTTGACAAAACCTGTTGACCAATGAGAGGTCAGGACCTTCAGACTGCTAGAGTTCTCTCTCCCAGTCTAGAAGGAGTTTAAACTTTTCAACCAGCTTTAATTTTCTGACTCGCTTCACTCCTTGTTCTTACGCCTTTGCTGGGTTTATGAAGCATGCTGGCCTGCCCTTATATGGCTGAATCCTAGGCTTGGCATTTCCTGTTACTTCCTGTATACTTCAGGACAATTGAGAGTGTGTCAAAGCCAGCTAAACTGTTTAAAATTTCATCCTTCAAAGGAGCATGGCAGAACTGGGACATTTTTTTGAACACAGCATTGCTTCAGGACTATCAGAGAGGAGGCTAATTTTCCTCAGTCAAGTTTTATTCCACAGGGTCTTCCACACAACTGCTTAGCTTCTTTCTGCCAGGATCCATGGAGCAACCGGCTGACACAGTGATCAGGGAACCGACTACCCGAAGCTGTTTGGCGTTGTGGGTCATAGTGTTCCTGAAAGCAAAATAGCCAAAGAGCCTGTTAAGATTTTCCTGGACACATGTTACTTTGGAACCTCCCAGAGAAATGAATGGTTTTGGGTAGAGAGCCTACCTATGCTTACAACATCCAAAGTCCCTGTCCTTAGGTAAGGAAGTGTGTGTGTGAGTGAGTGTGTGTGTGTGTGTGTGTGTACAGACCAAAGACCATGGGCTTAAGAATTAATCATAAACAAATACATACACTCTCAGAATGCTGGAAAGAACACAGAAAGATCATAAACTGGATATAGGATCGTCAAATGAGCTTAGGAATATGGATACAAACAGAGGATATCTACAGAAAAGACAAAAGCGTGTTTCACAGGCACCCAATGAACAGAGGGAGGGACAATGGGAGGAAGAGAGAGGGGCAGAGAGGGAGCAAAAGAGATAGAGAGGCACAGAAACAGAGACAGAAGAATTTGGCAAGAAACACCCTTTATCTTATGCCAAACACCAAGAAAGGGGAAAGTGCATTCCATCCTGAAGGTAAAGACACACAGGGACAATCACAAATCTCAGATGTCCGGAAACACCAGCAGCAAGCCAAAGGCAAACTCCAGGGACAGAAAGTCAGCCTGGTCCGATGAGACTCAGACGAAGTCCTGAAGAGGACCCGCGGAGGAAGAGACATGCAGGGGCGTCCAGGGGCACACGGGACACCAGAGAGCCCCGTGTCCGGGTTCCTGATGCGCCTCCCCGAGTGGCTGCAGCCGGGGCTCCGGCCCTGGACGGCTGCGGCCTGCGGGTGCTATCGCTACGCCCTAGCCTTGCAGAGCCCGCACTTCCCAGCTCTGCTCGGGGCTGCCCCTCCCCCGGGAAGGTGTGTCCCTGTTTCCTCACCTGAAACTTCCTTAGGAGAAGCCGGTCCCTCCCTCCCGTCCGGCGGCAGGGGCGGGCCGCGGGTGGGGCGCCGGGGCGGCCTGGCCTGGCTGGGGACCGCGGCGGGCGCCGGGACCTGGAGGGGACTCTCGGGCCGGCCCGAGGCAGCATGTGACTCCGACCAGGTGGGTGTCCTCCTCTCTTCGCAGCCCCTGGCTCCAGGTAGCCTTGGAGCCCCGCGGTCGTAAGCCAGGGGCGGGAAAGAAGTGAGAACTAGGCCTCCCCGGGGACCAGTCCCTGCCAGGTCCCGGGGCGCAGGCTCCGGAAATGGGGGGCTGGGCCAGTGGGCCGGGCTCCGAGTGAGGGGCTGAGTACCTGGTGGGGAAGAGGAAGGGAGCAGGAAGGAATGGCCTCTGGAAAAAGTTTGCTTTCCAGCCAGGTCTGCGCCTTGGAAATGGGCACCCTGCCCCGCGATGTTCCCCGGCCAATAATCCGAACTTTTTTTCCACCCACAAAGTCGGGGGCCTGGGGAAAGCGAACTCCTATGATGAGGAATTCTTGAGTTTCGATTTCTAGACTGTCCCTTACCTGGGAGTGTTATTGTCTCTCTCTTTTTTGTAACCTGGCCTGGGCCTTACTTCGTTATCTTCACGGCATTTCCCTGCGTACTCACTTGTGACTGTGTACACACCTCTCTCCGAGCCTCTGAGATCTGTAACAAAGATCCTTGTTCTGTGTCGCCTCTCCCCTATTTACCTGTCTATAGGGAGCTTCTTGTTGGCCTCAGTACAACAAAGTTCTCTGAAATGTGTAAGAGAGCTGTGTAGTGCAGCCAGCCAGATTGTGGGTGCAGGAGCCCATTTTCAGAGTCCTTAATTCTGAGCATCTTTATAAACGCCTTTTAGCAGAACTGGCCTGGGAGAATTCTTCGTGGGGCCTCAGTTTTCAAGTCTCAGTCCTCCCCCGCCCCTCCTGGATCTTGGGTTCCCAGGACCGTCTTGTCCTCCCGTCGGCCTAGCAGTGAACTCTGGCCAGCTCTGGGTCAGACTGTGGGGGAAGGGCACGCCAAACAGCGGAGGGCAAGAGGGTGGTTTTCCTTTCAGCTTCCTTCCTCCCTTGCTCCCCCACTGTGCTCCCTGCTTTACTTCAAAAGCTCCAAGTCCCAGAGAAACAACCCCCAGTGTGGCCTCTTCCAGACTTCCTGCTTTATCTACACCTGGGGTATGAAAGCTCCAGGCTCTATCAAAACAGTCATCATTTGTTAACCAGTCCTCAGGCCTTGGACTGAAACCGTGAACATTGAGAGGACATGGGGGAGGATGGAAAGAGGGGAAGAGCTGGGCAGGGGTCCGAGGTGTAAATTCTAAGACTGTGGTAAAAGAGGAAGAAGTCGGAAGGATTGGACAGGGATCCATCTTTTCAAAAGAATGCAGAAATTCCAGATATGGCAAAAGGTTTTTGATAAATCAGGGCTCCCCAGAGGGTATGGCTGCCCATAATGTGATTTGTCTGAGGTTGTCTGTGGTCACGTTATGCACTTGTCTGTTTTGGGGGATAGACAAGAAGACGTCATTGGTGGTGTCTGGAATAGTCACTTACTGTGTTGTGGGCAGAAATGGGATCTCTCGTGGGATCGTATGTTGAACCAAATGGTATAGAAACAAACGGGGGATGGACGGGTCTCCCCGCTTGCAGTGTGTGCAGAGTCAGCTGGCCACTCAGAGTGCCTGTAAAGCACACAGACAATGTCAATAAACAAGTCATACCTTACCTGAGTGGGTGGCCCCACGGCCACAGGTGGGCCTGAGGACTTAAGCATCCCCACATAGAATGTTATTATAAGACCATCTGCCCTCTGAGACCATTGATGGTGCGTAAGACATTACAGACTGGATAAAAAAAATGTGTATTCCATTCTTCACTGGGTCAGCCGGACAGGTCTTAGCAATGGTGTTGTACTACCCTTATGTTGGTGTCTTTGGAATATTGGGGCGGTAATGCCAAACACTGAACCAAGTTACCCATCTGTGTAGTGATTGTATGAGCAAAAATAAGAGGTGATCTTTTGGATTGAAGGTGGGAGATTTGTTTTCCTACTGTAAGCAGAAGTGTAGCTGCCATTGTAAATGCAGGCACAATTATCTTTGAAATCATTTTATACCTGGTGATTAGACGTGGGCAAGAGCTGAGGTGTTGGGGAGCGGTGTCTGGGGGAGACAGTGGAGGTCTGCTGGGTTCCATACTGTTAATAGGGTGACTCAGACCTCTGCCTCCTAAAAAGTCCACACCATGGGGTCTTGAAGATGCGAAATGTCTCTGGTCTGGAGAGAAGCCAGGTTCCTGGGATGCTGTGCCCTGTCTTCGCCTGTGTGCAGATAAATAGTGATTAGTCACCCCAGATGAGAAGGATATGGGGATGTTTCAACTCTTAACGGGACAGGTAGCTCAAAAAAAAAATCATTCTAATTCTAATGCCTTTATATGAGTAAGACCATGTTTTGCAGATTTCCTTTAACTTTCTCCACATTCTAGCCGGGTCATGCTTGTTTGTGTAGGGTTATTAAGGTAGAATTAACTATAGGAACTGAGGGTATGTGCTACCTTTGGGATGAATGGTGTATAAATAGGTGAGTCCCATATTTCTTTTCTTTCTTTTCTTTGGGGGGAGGAGGATTTTCAAGGCAGGGCTTCTCTTTGTAGCCCTGGCTGTCCCAGTACTTGCTCTGTACACCAGGCTGGCCTCCAACTCACAGAGATCTACCTGCCTCTGCCTCCAGGGTACTAGAATTAAAGGTGCACACCACCAGTGCCTGGCAACTACCATGTTTCTGCAAAGATAAAGACATAGTTGTGAGATTTCAGAGACAGACATTCATTGAGTCTTAGATCAGAACTGAAAATATCTGAACATAGTATATGTGGATGAAGTGTGGCTATGGCAGGAACTCATTTATAAATCCAGACAGTCTTTTTTTTTTTTTTTTTTTTTTTTTGATATGATGATGTTGGGAGATAGGGACCCGGATGATACAGATGCTGGTGAGGAGAGATAACAGGTTTGTCGCATAGTTTTCTGAGGCAGGTATGAGCAAGTTCCAGAAGGTGTCAGGGAACAAATGTGTTATTTAACATGTGGCTAAGAGAATAAGATCACATTATATATTATTTGTATATTTTATGCATAAGGACTAGTTAGAGCAGCTCACACACTGCCAGTTAGCTGGAAAAGGACATAGAAATCCTTCAACCAAGGCCCATTTATGTTAATCATATCAACTGCCCTATATAGATAATATCTGCACCTGTGAGGTGACCAGGAACTTGTCACATACTACATCTGCAAGTGCCTAGGGACCTGCCTGTTTGGTTATGTCAGATTCTATTGCATAGAGACTGCAAGGGTAGGTCAGTCACTGGGGTGTGTGTGTGTGTGCGCGCGTGTGTGGGTATGTGTGTGTGTGCATGTGTGTGTGTGTGTGTATGTTTGTATATATGTGTACATAGCCATTCTGCATGACAACAGAAGGCAGTTTAACGGGTAGGTTTCCACGTTAAACCTGGAGTTGACCAGAAAGGTACACAGCTGGATACTGAGGGGCCCAGGAACTCATAGGGTCCTCTATTGTGTTGTGGCTGGATGACTGGGTGCTTACAATAGACGCACATCAGGAGCCTTCATTTCAGGTTCATTTGTATCATTTGCTTAGGAAATGGAATCCTTGAGCCTGAGTTTTACTATCTATACACTGAGCAGAGTCTTGTGTTTCTAGAAAGGCCTCTGCAGCTTCCAGCCTTCTCTTTCTTTCCTAAACAGTCTCTCAGAGCACTACTGCCTGAGAGTCAGTTTCTATGACTTTTAAAGGTAACAGCAAGCTTTTTTTTGTGTTGTGTTGGTTAATTTTATTAGAACTGTGAAGGAAGCAATTTTTCCCATCTCTTATATATAAGGAAAAGGAAATTTAAATATATGAAATGATTTCTACAGTTGACTTAAAATTTAGTAAACCATCAAAAAGGCAAAAATGAAGCATATTTTTACTGTACATCTTTCCCTGGGTAGAGGAGACTTTACCTTTACGTAGAGGAGACTGCACAGTTAACATGGTAGAGGATGTGCCCTCATGGAGATCCTGATGCAGCTCAAAATGCTAGACAAGTTCCAAGTGTTTGAGGAGAAGCAGAGAGTGTTCTGGGACCAAATTCCAGCAGAGGAGTGTAACATATGAAGACTGTTGCTGAGAGAAAAGGGGTTGAGAGCTGAGGGTAGAGGCAGGTGCTGAAAAAAAGTAAGGCAGAGGCTAGATTATACAGGGTGTATGGTCTTTGCTGAATTTTTGGGATTACTCTCAAAGCTAGTTAGACGATACCAAAGAATTTAAACCACAAGTGGTATTTTGTATGGAAAATGAACTGTGTGTATGGAGTCTGGGGCTAGGCTGTGCTCCAGGTACAAAGATGTGTGAGCATGATATGAAAGCTCTTGACCAGGAGGGAAACAAGAGATTTATTGTGTATGTTTAAAATATTTATTGAGCACTTACTATGGGCCTACTGTTGTGCTGGATGTAGGCAATTGAACAAAGCTTGTCTCATACGGCTTGTTGTTCACTGGTTGAAACTGAGGTTAAATCAGATCACTTAATTATAAAATTGAAATGGTGTAAGTTTCAGTGAAAGGGAGAAGGCAAGTGAGTTATAATTTTTAATTCCATGAAATAGAAATGTCGTTTAACCCATCTGAGGAATTAGAAAAATTAGAAACCCGAAGCCTAAGTCGTGACAGCATGCTGGCACACATACCAAGAAGGAAAGTTCTTGTGACGTGAGTCACAACCACCACCAAAAGTGGGGGATACTGGCCGAATGGCATCTATGGAAACTGGGTGGAACTGGAGGGATGTGAGGCTGTGAACAGCACACAGGCAGAACTCATTTGAGATAGAAGTTGACGGGTGCTTAGACACTGTTAGAATGGCATGCAGGCCTGGAGGAGACAGGGGAGAGGAAACAGGCAGGATGGAAAGTGGGCATGCAGGCTACTTTTGAATTGCAATAAATTGAGGTGGCACCTCTCCATTGTCTTCTGAACTTTTTGCAAAATAGACTATGAGGTTTTCTTTTGGAACGTGAAGACAGGGTAGAAGGTCACGATGTTGGACATAGTGAGGGCAGGTAACCTGGTGTTAGGGAGAAGGACAGTATCATAATGAAGGTAGCACAGCTTTTTGCGTTGAATAGAGTAAGGGGAGTTATCTTTCCCTTTTCCAGCAGCTGTCTCTATAACTGAAAATAAAATTGGTCATTAGTTATAGAGTGCTGCTAGACACTATAAAAATAGGAAGATGAGTAAAATCCAGATGTTGTGGAAAGGGCTCATGTGTTGCACGTTGGTTGGCTACAGTAGCTTGACCTACTTTGATCCTGTGGTGGCAGCTCGGGAGCAAGGTTGCTCTCCTGACACTGCTTCTCTGGGCTGTTAGATGCAGGGTGTGTCACCCATCATGGCTGGTAGTTATCCAGGCTGAGTCACACCGAGAGTCCAGAGAGTTGACAGGGAGGACTAGACAATGGCATGATTGAATTTAGAGGGCAATGACCACTGGCAGTTCCTGGAACTCTTTGACAATGGTCTTTAATGCTAATTGAATAGTTTGTAATCAGTTTTTTTCCCACAAGACTACAATATCCACCAGGAGCTTTGTCTTGATCACTGCTGATTGCCCTACACTTAAAAGGATCACTAGGTAAATTGTGTGTGTGTGTGTGTGTTGTGGAGGTCAGAAGTTGATGCCACATACCTTCCTTGAAGGCTCTTCTCCATCTTATCTTCTGAGAGAAGCTCTCACTGTACTGGTGATGTGGGAGTGTCATATATCAATCTGTTGATTTCATTGGCTGAGCAATAAAGAAACTGCTGGCCCTGATAGGTTAAAAGATAGGTGGGCGGAGGAAACAGAATAGAATTCTGGGCGGAAGAGGAAGTGAGGTCAGACTCTGCTCTGCTCCCGAAGAGACACCAT